CGCCCTCCCCGTCTCCCTGCTCCGCCAGGCCCGCCCCCGCCGCACGTGCGACGGGCGAGGTGGAGCCGTGGAGGCTGGACGAGGATGCCACCAATCCGTGAAGGTGAGGCCTAGGTCCACCTCCCCGTCCTATGTTGTAAGCTGTCCATCTCGATCTATGTCTGTCGTCCTTCTCCGGTGCCGGAGGGCGTTTGTAATTCTTATTCCACTACTTAGTCCCTGCTTTGGACGCCTCGGAATCTCATGCCCAACAGTCCATGGACTGTTTCTCGTTCCAGATATATATCTTCGTCGATGATGATGAATTGATGATGAACGGTAGCAGGCGTACTACGTCAATGCAGGTTCTGTTACAGGATCTCAGCACCATCACTGAGTCTACGTACATCGCAGTGTATATGTAATGCTGAAATAGCCATACGCTAGTACGTATATTGCAGTTTATATATGTGGTCCTGGGCTCCTGGCCGCCACCAACAGCAAGAGAGATGCTCTGTGACGGGTCAATTCAGGAGGAAACTATATATACGACTGCCAGGCCCAGGACCGCATCAAAGCGAAATGGCTTCATCCCGTTCCATGCACAGTATTGGCATCTCAGCTGCTGCCCTTTTCGCCGCGCGCTCAGCGCAGCAATTCCTGAGCTCTCCCCTGACAGCAGGGAAATGGATACAAGAAGAAGGATCTCTTTACCCTGACAGCAGTGGCGGACCCAGGATCTAAAACCAGGGTAGTCCTGGTAAAAAAATTTCATGTGTAATACTATAAAATCCAAATAAAAAGTTTGGCAAACATAGCTATAAATTAATCAAATTACGATAATACATTTAAAATGTTCAAAACTTACATAAATACTCCCTCCATACTGGTAAAGAAAGTCGTTTAGGATATGATTTAGCATACCCAGGAGTGATTAATTAAGGGGTATTTTTCCCTGTTTTCCCTTATTAAATAAGGTTGCGGGTATTGCCTATCCAATAAACTTTCGTGGCTGGACTAGTAAGCGTGTTGCAGCCCGAGGCACGAGGTCTCCGGTTCGATCCCTCTCGGGTGCGTTATTTTTTTTGAAGAGCTCGTGGATTTACGGTGTCTTTGGCCTAGACTGAGACGAGAGTGATCGTGGACCAGCTTCTGAAAAGTAGTAATAGAATTTTGGACCAAATTTGTGGGTAGTCCTGGGCCTACCCATGCTACCTGCTGGGTCCGCCACTGCCTGACAGCCTGACTATAGGATGTTCCGAATGGTTATCAACTGATGTTTTAGCTTCATGCCAGGAAGAGTGCTCTGTATTTGCATCTGAGTCACCAATTCCTCATGGAGATCTCGTCCACGCCTGAGTGACAAAACAACACGTGCTCAGTGCACGGCTTCATGGAGATCAAGCTTGTTACTCCCAGATTTGGTGCCGCCGTGCCCCCCTAAACTTCTGCCGAGGAACGGAACCCCTAAACATTAGCTAGACGCCCTGACGTATATATATTCCAAGTGCCCCAGATACAGTGACAGACAGAGCTGTGAGCCCCGTACGTCCATCTGGCTTTATGTGCCTTGCGAAACCAAGATCACGCAGACCGGTTAGCTGGCTTTCTTCCCTCTTTTTCGGTTGGGTGTGTGGCTGTCGCTACTTTGGCCTACATTTTGCAAATGGTTAGTCAGAGCCAATGCTGAATACTGTATGTTTTAAATTTTGAACATTCGAGGTCGTTTAGGAATTCTAAAATTTGAATTTCAAAATCTATAAACTTAGAACACATATTTAGGATCCTAAACGACTTCAAATAAAATAATTTTCAACTACAAAGTTGTTGACCGTTTTGAGAACTATAACTTTCATATAGACCATGTCAACATGTGAGATAGTTTGATAATTTTAAATTTCAAAATCTGTCAAATTGCAACAATATTTTAGGACCTGAACAGTTTCAATTCAAAAACTTTTCAACTACAAAGATGTAGATCATATGTTTGAGAAACCATATTGATCAATAATTGATAAGTTACCACAATTTGATAGACTATCTAGTATTTATTATGACTATTGTGTTAGAAGTGAATGAAGAGAAAATATACAATTTAATATAAGTAGTTTTTATTAGTTAGAGGTACTAACTAACGCTAGTGTCTTCTAAGAATCTAGTCCGTGCGAGACCATTGGTTGATGGACTACTTAGAATAAAAAATATGTAAAAAGGACAGTTATTTGTGATAACGAAACTATTGTGTTGTTAGATACAAATGTTTATACTACTTCTTTATAAATCAAGTCACACTTGAAATTTGATTTGCATTTTTTTAGGGAAAAGGCCGGTTGTGGCCGAGGAAAGATAGTGGCCAGTAGCATAGGTACGGTAGTTGATGTAGCTAATTAATTCGAACCCACTTTAATTGCTGCGCCGCCAGTCTTGCTGTTGGCTGAGCTAAAGTAGTACCCCCCATCGAGTCCTTGCATTGGTCCCTCTTTTCCTCACTGCTCTCCTAGACTACCTTTCACATTCATAACTAGGATGTCCCATTTCTCTTGACTACTGCTCCCTTCGTTCCGTTTTACCGGGCGTGACAATGGTATTCACGGATACCAAGACGTCCATCTATCGAGCTTGTTCGCTGGTTGGTTTCTGGGTTGATAAGTTCGACTGGTACTGGTTTGTTGTGAGAGAAAAACACTGTTGACTGGCTAATAAGCTCTGGCTGAAACCAACAAGCGAACAGGCTGATCGCATGCAAATGTACTAGACTAGTCTTATTGGCATTTAATAAGCTGCCGCATAAGTGTTTTGATGATGTGACAAAGTTTTTAATAATTGAGAGAAGAAGTGAGCGATGAATCTCTCTTGGCACGATTACTAACTCTCTACAAGTAATGAAATTAAATGTCTATGAAACCATAGAATGAAACTCTCCATTAAGAGTTGACGTTTCATCAACGTTCCACTTAATTTTAAATGACATGACAGTTTTGAAAACAACGCATAAAACTACCCACTGAGACAAACCTTCTAACTCATATAATTATCCATGCCACCAGGTCCATATGACATTCACGGCGGCATACTGCTTGCATTCAAATTGTTTTTCAGCTGCACCCGTTCCCATGCATGTGACGGTTTGGCGCTAGGCCTCACCGTGCATGTATGTGACGTTTCAACAGTCTTGAGTAATCACCTACCTCCTCGATACTCCAGCGCCGCCTATAATGGAACAGAGGGAGTACTCTTCTACCTTTCACATTCATATACAATTTAATATAAGTAGTTTTTATAAGTACCTTCGTTCCATTTTACCCGGTGTGACAATGGTACTCACGGATACCAAGACGTCCATCTATCGTATGCAAATGTATTACACCAGTCTTAGTGGGAGCTTCATCAGAGTTTTATTGGCATTTAATAAGATGCCGCATAAGTGTTTTGATGATGTGACAAAGTTTTTAATAATTGAAAGAAGAAGTGAGGGATGAAACTCTCTTGACACGACTACCAACTCTCTACGAGTCATGAAATTAAATGTCTACGAAACCATAGAATGAAACTCTCCATTAAAAGTGGATATTTCATCAACGTTTCACTTAATTTTAAATAACATGACAGTTTTGAAAACAATACCATAAAACTACCCACAGAGACGGACCTTGTAACTCATATAATTATCCATGCCACCAGGTCCATATGTCATTCACGGCGGCATACTGCTTGCATTCAAATTGTTTTTCAGCGGCACCCGTTCCCATGCATGTGACGCTTTGGCGCTAGGCCTCACCATGCATGTATGTGACGTTTCAACAGTCTTTAGTAATTACCTACCTCCTCGATACTCCAGCTCGCCTGGTGTCATGGCCAAAACTAAAAACGCGTAGGCGCAGCCTATAATGGAACAGAGGGAGTACTCTTGTACCTTTCACATTCGTAAGTACAGTTAGGGATGGAAATGTGGAAATGGATATCAGAATTATCCGAATCCATATCCGCCTATAATGGAAATGTTTATTGACAAGTTAGAGTGTCAACTATTTTGCGATAAAAATTGAATGCTATTAGGTTAAATATTTTGAGATAAATAGAGTACACTACGTAAATCGTCTGCCATAACAACGCTTGTCGCCCTATGCATCTCAGCTGCCTCTTGATGCAACCTCCGTAAGTTAAAACCGTCTGAATCTGGATGAGCCTAGAAACCAAATTTAGGCACAAAAAATAGCATTTTACGTCTTGCCACGTCGAAAGACCCGCCGTGAATTTTTCTGTTTTGCCCGTGTTGTTCTTATCGTCACCAAGCGTACGGATAACTTGCAGATTCAAAGTCGTTATTTATGCCCAGTCCCGACCAACGTAACCATTGCTTGAACTGTCAGGCTAGACTGTACTTATGAATGTGAAACAGTCAAGTTCGACTGATAACCACCTATCTAATGTACTCCCTCCATCCCAAATTATAAGTCATTTCAACTTGCTTGGAGAGTCAAAGTATCTCAAGTTTGACCAAATTTATATAATAAAATAATAACATTTATGATATCAAATAAGTATTATTAGATTATTCATTAATTTTGTTTTCATAGTATAATTATTTCATGTCATAAATCTTTATAATTTTTGTTAAACTTGAAATACTTTGACTTTCTAAGAAAGTTGGAATGACATAAAATTTGGAATGGAGGGAGTAGTCTATACTGGACAGCTTCCTCGTGCATGTCGATGGCCATGACCTGGCTGATCTGAGCAGAATCAAACGCCCCATGAAGAAGATGGGGGACCTGTTCCACAAGGGCAAGGCTCGCCGTGAAAATTCGTGCGCTATCGAAGAAATCACTAAGCAACTTCAACAGATGACAGAGCGGTATGCCAGCTACAGGATCGATGATCTTGTGGCCAAGCCTGCTGCCATATAACAAGTATTGACCCACGCCTCTCTGCTCTCTACACAAAAGTGTCACAGCTTGTTGGGATCGAAGAGCCAAGGGATAAGGTCATAAAAATGCTGACATAAGTAGCAGAAGACATATATGGAGGCGAAGATAATCTCTATTGTTGAGTTTGGTGGGTTAGGCAAGACTACTCTTGCTAAAGCTGTGTATGAGAATCTTAGTCAGGATGTCCGTTTCAGGGCTTTTGTTCCTGTTGGCCGGAATCCAGACTTGAAATCAGTCTTAAAGGGCATTCTTATTGATCTGGACAAGCAACGTTACACCAAGGAATTCAATTTGACTATATTGGATGAGAGGCAGCTAATAGATGAACCTCGGGAATTCCTCAAGGATAAGAGGTAGTCGTGTTCTTACTCATAGCCTTTTAATTACGGTTTGGACACTTGATGGAGACTTGCAAGGTGTCGGTTTTAGCGGAAGCATCACAAGGTTTTTAAAAGCAGGAATCATACGCCAAGTTGTTGTTATATATACAGCCATAGAGGAACGTTTATTGGTGCTAGCATAATAAATCAATAAGATCACCCTCTTGGGTTTGGTGAAGACTTGCGTGGTGCTGGTTGTCATGGAAAGCAGCACAAGGTTTTAAAAAAGAGCAATGATGTGTGGACGCATCTTGACGTCCCTTTCGGCAGCTGAGTCAAGTCGTCGGTGTAGTACATGTGCAGTCAGTGGGATGGCACATGTGCTGCCTCTGCATCAATTACATGGACGGAAAGTGGTGCCTATAAGAGAGGATGCTTGCATAGGAACCAGGGAGTGCATGCCCTTTGTGTTTTCAGCCGGCGCGTGCGCTCTTGGTCTCGGGCACACATCGACGCAAGTCCTCTGTCTGGATCGCTGTTCGCAGCCTGCTTGGTGGGCTCTAAACCGTGGTGAGTAGATGCATTTCTCATCATTTGGAAAAAAATACTTACCATTTTCAGTTGAAACAGAAACGACTTACTGAGCTTCGAACAAATTTTAGGTTCAAGTCTTTATTATCTCGGCCGCTCTTATCCCTGGCCATAATGCAGCATAACAAGCTGGTCATGCTCCATGCATGTCTTAGCCGACCATCGGTCACCTTGATGAGTTGAAGCTTTTTCTTTTGGAGAACACTCCTAACTCCTAAGTATGTTTCTACTTTGAGCTGAAACAGGAACATCTTACTTAGCTGAACAAATTTTATTAATTAGGTTATTGATCGAAAAAAAATTATTAATTGGGTTCAAGTCTTTGTTGTTGAACTATAAACATTTGTCCTTAGTCTTTTTTTCGGATCGGTCGAACATTCAATTTCGTTTACTTGTTTCAGTTTGATCTGTTGTTGCACTGAAGAAAAGTAACAAGCGGAGGGGGATAGCAACTGGAACACACAAGAGAACTCTACAAGCACTTGGTGACTTGCATCCCCATAACACACTACAACTTTGCAACCTATCAAATTGCCAGCATAATATAGTGATTGGTTAATCATCTTGTGAGCCCCTGAGTATGGACTTGGTCACGGGTGCGTTGGGCTTGCTCCCCTCCAAGCTGCTGGAGCTGCTCAAGGACGAGTACAAGCTCCAGAAGGACGTCAGGGTGAAAGTCCAGTCCCTCTCCCGGGAGCTCGAGTGCATGCACGCCGCCCTCCGCAAGGTGGCGGCAGTGCCATTGAACCAGCTCGACGACCAGGTCAAGATATGGGCACGCGAGGTTAGGGAGGCTTCCTATGACATGGAAGATATACTGGACAGCTTCCTCGTGCATGTCGATGGCCATGACCAGGCTGATCTGAGCAGACTCAAACGCGCCATGAAGAAGATGGGGGACCTGTTCAGCAAGGGCAAGGCTCGCCGTCAAATTTCGTGCGCTATCGAAGATATCACTAAGCAACTTCAGCAGATGACAGAGCGGCATGCCAGGTACAGGATCGATGATCTTGTCGCCAAGCCTGCTGCCACAACAAGTATTGACCCACGCCTCTCTGCTCTCTACACAAAAGTGTCACAGCTTGTTGGGATCGAAGAGCCAAGGGATAAGGTCATAAAAATGCTGACATCAGTAGCGGAAGACATGGACACGAAGATAGTCTCTATTGTTGGGCTTGGTGGGTTAGGCAAGACTACTCTTGCTAAAGCTGTGTATGAGAATCTTAGTCAGGATGTCCGTTTCAAGGCTTTTGTTCCTGTTGGCCGGAATCCAGACTTGAAAACAGTCTTAAAGGACATTCTTATTGATCTGGACAAGAAGCGTTACACCACCGAATTAAATTTGACAATATTGAATGAAAGGCAGCTAATCGATGAACTTCGAGAGTTCCTCAAGGATAATAGGTAGTCATATTCTTACTTAGAGCCTTTTAATTTATTTTACAAGTTGAACAATCATTTGAGAAATCGATAACCTGCAGATTGAATCTATTACAAAATTAATTATTTTAGTTTTCGTTTCTTTTTGTTCTCATCTAATCCCTGGATAGTATTTTCGAATGTTTTTCCCTCTATCCAACAATTCGTGTCATCTTGAATGAGTTATTATGTATTTTTCATGAAACTATATGACTCCTTCATTTCCATGCTTATAGGTACTTCATTGCTATTGATGACATATGGGATGTACCATCGTGGAACATAATAAGATATGCTCTGTATGACAATAGCTTGGGAAGCAAAATAGTCATAACTACCCGCAAGCATGATGTTGCCATGAAAGTTGGTTGTTCTTATGACATGGAACCCCTTCCCTACGAGAGTTCTAAAGAATTATTCTATGGGAGAATATTTGGCTCTGAACAGAAATGTCCTAAAAAATTTGTGGAAATATCTGAAGGCATAATTAAGAAATGTGGAGGCGTGCCATTAGCTATCATTACCACATCAAGTTTTTTGGCAAATAAGTTGGGAAATATAAAAGAGTGGTATGAGTTTTGTGAGTCTATTGGTTCCGGACTTGGAGGCAATTCTGATATGGAAAACTTGAGAAAGATATTATCTCTTAGCTATTATGATCTACCAGCTCATCTGAAGACATGCTTATTATACTTAAATGTATTTCCAGAAGACTATGAGATTAACAGTGGGCGGCTGATATGGAGGTGGATAGCTGAAGATTTTGTTCCACCTGGAGAAGGGGACCAAAGTTTATTTGAGCTTGGACAGAGTTACTTCTATGAGCTTATAAATAGAAGCCTAATCCAACTAGAAAAGGATGATGAGCCAGGTATGCTTGAGACTTGTCGTGTGCATGATATGGTGCTTGACCTCATTTGTTCCATATCAAGAGAAGAAAGTTTTGTTGCAACAATAGTAGGTGATGCGAAGCAGACGGCACCTTCTTGGGGAAGCAAGGTTCACAGGTTGTCCCTCCACAATACTACTTGGCCTACAGTAATGAACATGTCAAAACTAAGGTCACTTTTCAATGATGCCATAATTAATTCGATGCCATGCCTTTCATGTCATCATCTTCTTCGAGTATTGGATCTAGAAGGATGCAGCCTTGGGGACCATCCAAATTTGAGTTTTATTGGGAACTTATTTGCGAACACAAGGTTGACAAGTACCCTTGTGTGTTCGTTTTGTGATGAGTGATTGTCAATGTGATCCACGAAGTAGGTTGAGTGGTGACTAACCCTACCATGGCGAAAGCTATGTGTGCGACATGTCTTTTGGCTTGTGTTGTGCAGGTGTGGAGCTCGGATGCGGTGGTCGATGGCGAGGTGAAGGTCAAGGAGGACGCGCAGCGTTGGTCTTGCACCGGGAGCGGTGAAGGACGGACGTGAGGCTTGGACCGAGGGACCCAGAGGCCGGGTGACTAGCCACGGTGGCTGACACTTGGGACATCGACAAGTGCAAGAAGACATGGAGTGACGGTGTTGACCGGGTCAAGACGGCGGACGCGTGAGTCGAGCGAGGCTCAGGAGGACTTGGCGGGCCGGCTGGTCGAGGACGGCGGTGACATCGCGTCGGATGGCGGGAACGCGTATGGAGTACGCTACCATGGACGGTTTACTGGGTTTGGGCCTCAAAACCCGGGCGGAGGTTCCGGAGGACGGACGGACGCGCGTGGCGGCATCGGGAGTTCGCGTCGGCGGTTACCGGTGAGAAGCGCGGTGGCCGTCGGATCAAGATTACACCAGGTTGGACAACAACGCCCTTGGGCTTAGCGGTTCAACTCATTTGTATCCAGGGGCAAAACTGGGAATGTGTAATAGCCCTGTTAAATAGGATGAGGGAGCCCCCATCTCCCTCACCTCCTCTAGTTTTCATTTTCTCCTTTAGGGTTTCTTCCTCTAGTTTGCTTCCATGTATGAGAGAGGTCCACAACTCAAATTGTGACTTGTTTTTCAAGGAATCGGTGGCCGTAACCACCGTATGTCCTCCGGGATTCATGATTTAGTTGTGTTCTTGATGTGATTTTGGTGTTCTTCACGAGCTCCTTTTGTCCCTTCTTATTTTCCCTCTCGTTTCTTCGTTGTGGGATGGTTTTGGTTCGTTCTTGTTGCCTTGGATCGATCAATGACATGAGTAGAAGCTTTCCACCGAAGGAAGTCCACTAATTCCTCACGAGATCGCAGATCCGAGCAATTTAAGTTCTTGACCTATTTCTTTGGGGATTCTTCAATTCCTTCGATTCACGGAGTTAGAGTTTGTTTCGGGCCATGATCCTTTAGAGGTTGCCTTTCTACTCGCTTGTGAACCCTTATGCAAAGTTTCAAGTCATTTGGAGTTGATTTGATCAAGTTATGGCTTGATTTGATTTTTCTCGAGAAACTGCTCGTTCATACCGGACGTGTCCGATATGATACCGGACGTGTCCGATATTTCTCACTTTGGAGTTTTGAGCTGAAATTTGGTGGAGACCTTCCCTTGGTGTCTAAAGGGCTATGGTTAAAATTTCATGATTTTTGGACACCATTTGACAGGGTTTTGGATTTTTCTCTTTTGGTCACTTGTTTGCTTTGAAAATACCGGACGTGTCCGAGATCATACGGACGTGTCCGAAAATACCGGACGTGTCCGATATAATACCGGACGTGTCCGATATTTGCAGGAGCAGTGCTGTTTTCTTTTGGGAGTTTGCTCGTTTGGGCTTCGATCTTTGTTCCGTTTGCTCTGTGGTGACCCGTCGTGTTACGAGGGAGTATCCACCTTCTTTAGGGTCGTGGTCATCAAGTCTTTCGTGAATGCTTTTGGGGATTGATGTTGGGACAAAGTGGTTGAAGATTTCGAAGAAATTTGAGGCTCCCATTCACCCCCCCTCTGGTCGCCGTTTCGGTCCTTCAATTGGTATCGAGCCGGTTAAGGATCATTCCACCTTAATCGGTCCGTGATCCACGGCGACATGGAGCGTGGTTCTGGCAAACCACCGCACTTCGATGGGTCCAACTATCCTTATTGGAAGATCCGCATGTCTGCGCATCTCCAGGGGATTGATTGGCTCGTCTGGGAAATTTGCGAGGATGCTACTTACGTTGTGCTCCCCATCGCGGCCGTACCACCCGGATCACAAGGATCGGCACAACGCAAATAGCAAAGCTCGTGAGTGTGCTTTTCTCGAGTCTTTAAACTTCTCGAGTTCGAGCGTGTCTCCGATTGTACTACAGCTTTCGAGAGATCCAGGTGAGGCTTCGAGCTATCACGAGGGGACCGCATGAGTCAAGACCAGACTCTCACGAGGCGTACAAGCGTGAGTACGAGAACTTCTCTCGACTTGATGGCGAGTCCATCGATGCCATGTTTTCCCTTTTCGGACTATTGTCAACAAAATGAAAGCGAACAAGGCCAACCTACCTTATAGTGATCATGAGAGAGCGCTCAAGCTTCTCTATGCCCTTGATCGAAAGGTATGGGATGTGAAGGTGTCGGCGATCATCGAGTCCGCCAACTATGACACCCTCACCGTCGACGAGCTTTTCAAAGAAGCTCAAGTCCACGAGAGATCGACTACCAAACTCAAGCCAAGCTCAAGAATCCTTCCGCACCAACCATGGCTTTGGTCTCAGGTAGTGGTTCAAGTTCTTTGACTAACCCTTCACAAGCTTCTTTCTCTTTGTCGTGCTTGATGTCAGTCACAGAGGAACAGCTGGAGTCTCTTGGAGATGATGAGTTGGCACTCGTCATCAGTCGGTTCTCTCGGTTTCACAACAACCGTTTGAACCGCCGACGCAGTGGTGGCCCGAAGGAGGGATGCTATGGATGTGGAGATCCGGACCACTTCGTCGCGCACTGCCCCAAGAAGAAGACCTTCGCCAACAAGTACGACTCCGGCAAGCGCAAGGATAAACGCGACTACACCTCCGGCAAGCACAAGGCCAAGGGCGGCTTCGACAAGGAGGCGATCAAGAAGGCGTACCGCAGGAAGGCCAAAGCTCAAGAACGCGCCTTCCTCGCCTCCCTCAGCGACCTCGACGACGACTCCGACGATGATCACTCTTCTTCTTCCTCGACCGACGATGAGTCCGAGAAGAAGCGCGAGGACAAGCTCAACGGTCTCTGCTTTGTCGCCGGTGCAAACCGTGGTGGGTTTTGCACTATGGCGATTGACGGTGGAGCAAAGCTCAAAAAGGACGTCGACGACGACGAAAACGAGGTACCGCCCACCTTGACTTGACTCACTCATGCTTGAGCTTGATACTATGAATGATACATTGATGAGTCAAGATAAGTTGCTTAAGCGTCTTTGCCGTGAGAGAAAAGAGTTTAAGGACCAGCTAGAGGTTGCTTTGAAGGAGTTGGAGCTTGCCAAGAGTGGTGTAGTGGTGTCAGAGGAGGAGTGCGATGAGTGCGCTATACACATGTCTAACCTCTCTGACTTGCAATCCAAGTATGCTGTTTTGCTTGATGAATGTGATGAGCTGAAGTCTCGTTCTGGGTTGCTCAGTGCATGCAAGTCCTGCTCAGGCTTGCAATCTGAGTTGGCAGAGAAGGTTGCCAAACTTGCTGAGTTTGAGAAGGCCAACTCAGATAGCACCACCACTACATGTGTTCGATGTGAAGCTTTGGTGTTGGAGCTTGAGTCCTGTAGGCATGACAAGATGGGAACCGAGGAAGAAAACACACAACTTCGGTCTATCTTGAGCTGGGTGTCGTGCAGTGAGCCCAGGTTGGGCATGATGGTGAGCCAGATTCAGTGAGAAGAACCGACTCATCGGGAGTAGGCTTTGCTATAGGTGGGAAGGGTGAGCATGTCTATGGCAAGGTTGGTGAACATAGTGGTTTGAACCCAAATGAGAAACCCACCAACACTCCCAAATTGATCAAGATCCCCTCACCAGAGCCTACCAAGCCTATGATCAAAGATGGTGTGTTTGAAGAACCACCAAAAGCTCCACCATCCAAACAAGTTTGGGTTCCCAAACCGAACCACTTTCGAACTCACTCGATACTCTACCCAACATCTCTAGTGCACCCCTTCCTAAAGCCAAAAAGCCTCGGAGAGTGAGTCAACCACCACCCAAGAGAGAGGTGAGGTACCACTGTGACTATTGCCATAGAGATGGTCATTTGGCTGAGTTTTGCTTTAGGAGGAAGAGAGATGAGCGGCCTAGAGTATGAGTTGAACAACCGGAACATGTACCGTCCTCCACATGGCGTACATGTACCACCTGCTCAGAGGCAGATGTTAGGCCTAGAGGTGCAATGCCTCAAGGTGCTAGGCCTCAGTGGCGAGACCACGAGGTGGTCGTGCCCAGGCGTGGCCCAAGTCATGATCGATATGACTTTGGACCTCGCGACCGTGGCTTTCTGGCCCCCCGCACTCCTAGCGGACCACGTTTTCCCCCACGTGGTGATCGCTTCTCTCAATGGGACATGGCATGTATGGTGTTTTTCCTAACACTTTTCCGGGCAAATGACTCAACACCGGTATTCTCCTCATTTCACTAACCCCAGTGTTGTGCCATTTGCTCACCCTTGTCTTTCTATTGATGCAGAGCGGAGGCCCGGAGAACACGTGGCTTGTTGATTCCTATTGTTTCGCGCCACATGACCGGAAGTTCCAAATGGTTCTCCACCCTCGACCCCATGCAATACAAGGAGTACATCACATTTGGGGACAATAGCAAAGGTAAGGTCTTTGTCTCGTGGGACCATTCGGTCAATGAGTCTTTTATCTTGAAGGACGTTGCTTTGGTTTCAAGCACGCATTTCAATTTGCTCTCTGTTTCGCAACTCCTTCAAGATGGGTTTGAGGTGCGCTTTAAGATCGGACTTTCTCGTGTGCTCGATTCTCGGGACATCTAGTTTGTCAGATCGTTCCTTTCGGCCGAGTTTTCAGAGCTGATTTCTCTCAGTCTTTCGGTTCTT